TTTTTTTTTCGACTATTTCCTTATACTAGTAATTTGAAGAAAGAATAAACTAACCACCAGTAACATTTGTCATTTCACATGTGCTCTTAAAAAAGCCACTTGAATGAAAGAGCTAAAAGACTACACGAAAATAAAGAAAGACAGACAGGATTGTTGGAGAGACACCGCCTTTCAGATGAGTTCCGTATCTCTGCAGTTTTGCTTTTTTTATTGTTATCTTTTTGCTGTGTTTTTTGGTTTTCATTTTCAGGAATCGTCAGATACTCATCATTTTGTCTCGAAATTGCCTTACTAGTATATTTATTTTTATCGCAACGTTGTGAATTTAATGGCACATCAAGACAATGTCTCGTAGTTAATGGTTTTCCTCCATCTGGTCACCAGTTAACTTGACAATAAGGCGAACGGAGTCGATATTGAACACTCATCACATGGAAGACTCAGTTGCTTAATGGTTTTGCAGGTTTCGCGTTGGACTAAAGATCTTAGGCCTTTGGGGCAAGACTTCTTTTCTCCCTTTCACCATGCAAGACGTTGACTACTGACAAAATTTTACGGCGCTACCTGCGATCCCATCCCAGATGTCGAGTAGAACCTCAACATAAACCGGAGTTTCACACAAACCGACGAGGAACAGACTTAATTTTGTCAGTTTGAATGTTAAATTATTTACCTATCTCTAAACTGCCTCGTGAATAGCGGTTGCTTAGAGACTTCCCACTCAAATATTTACTCTCAACGCGCCAAAAACATCTACTAGCATGCAATGGGGCATGCGCAATTCCAAAACACTTTCCACTGATTCTCCCTAATTCAGCTTTGATCGAACTGTTGCAAATGAAATTCATTTTTTTGTAATCTTATTCATTTCTGTATAGAAGTGAGAAGAATTTATTTGTTGTCATTGACACAAAATATCGTACCAGACCTCACATGTTTATTGTATTACCGCCTTGGGAGTTAATTAATTTCTGCTCCGCGAGGCCAAGGGCACAAAAAACGGAATTATACAGTGCTACAAAACATAAATTTCGCTGTTAAAACGCTTTTAGATTTTTCTTCGCTATCTCATGACTTACTTGTGGCTGACTGTTCTTCCGAGATAACTGGATTTCTCATTATCTTATCTTAGTCAGGTATTCCTGATCTTATTTACAAAAGCTATGTGAAAAGACAGGTTTGTCGTGTGCAGGGTAATTTTCAAGCTGTGTCAATTCTTCGAGAATTAAACCCTCATACTAACAAAAAAAAAATTTACAGAAAGCTGTTGTATAATATAGAGCGCGTGCTTATGAAGGTATTCAGCGCATTCTTGATACTGTTTCAATTCAGTAGCTGACGACTTATTTAGTGAAGCAGGAGTTATTTGTAAATTTTTCAATAAACACAGTGACTGGTTCGTGGTCGATGTTAGTAATCTCGAGTAAAGCTGATTTGCCTTTTTATTGCAATTATTTCTCAAAGTTTTTAAGGCTCGCTGATCTTGAGCTCAAACCACCCACGTTAGATATTTAGACATTTTGCTTCGCATGTACAACACATGGTTTGGCTTGCCAGTGGCTATACTCACCTTGTTTGGCATTTTGACATAGCACGTCTTTGTTATTCGTTACCTCTTGCACTGAATCTTCACAAGACCTTCCGTTGTCTTCTTTCTTGTCCATCATCTCCATATTGTATTAGACCGTTTAGAATCGTTGAACGAACTAGTCAGCACTCTTAAAGTGTAGTGCTATATATACTGAGACTATTACCGGAGCCAACAGTCTATAATTAACAACCTGTAGATATATATATGTGTGTATCACAAGATCGCAAGTGTTATTAACCGGCAAACAATGCCCACAGGCAGTGGATACCAAAATGTCTGTGTCTGGAGACGTGCTGCTTCTTTTCAGCTGTTTTCATCTGCTTTTAACACATGTTTGTGTGTTTTCAGCATTGCTTCAGGCGCCAAGCGTATGATATATCGAATCATTTCGCGAACAAGGTTGGCGCACTTTAGTCGGATAGGCCGCCGACCGCATCGATTTCCCGCCAGAACATATGGCACTGCCAGCAGATATCACTAGTCATGGCTTTTTTAACCAATGGCTTTTCTTTTGTTATAGAATTCCTATAATCTACACTCGTCAGGAGCGAAAGAGGGCTCTTAGATCATTTTGTTAAGGGCGCTCTTGGGTTGAATTACGCAGAATATTCGTCTCTTGGCTCGTCTAGCGGTTACCAACCCTGAGGTGGTTAAGTTCTCCTTAGTTTAGAAAGCAGGTTATAGCTTTTATATTTTTGACTGACATTCACTGAACACCTGGTCAGGCTGATCTCTTTGAAACCATGTTTAGATATTTTAGCAAGCCGGCTCATCAGCCAGAAAGCAGCTGTTTCTTAAAAGCACGAAAAATATTTCACTGTAGGCGAGTCTAGAAATAAAACGATCTTGACTATTTGAGGCATATTCAATTAACATATTTTCGTCGTTAAAAAAAAAGAAACGTGTTTCGCCAGTTAAGCTGTGAGTTTTTACGTGCAAAGTTGTAACAAAAAAGAAGAATCGAAATTTGAATCACGTTATAGAAAACCAATTCAGTGGTTTTTAATTGATAGCTTCCTTGGGAATATCTTTTTACAACATCACGCAAATCCACAAGTTTTATTCAGAAAAATCACATGATAAATGCATTAGCTCATGAAGAAAACACTGACGAGTACATTTCATGCCCGCTTTTTTCACACCAAGATCGTTTCACAGGCTTAACTATCCTCAGCCAAGAGTTTAGCGGGAAACCTCTCGCAAATTCTCAGTTTTATTACAGTTCCACTGTAACGAAAGTCTATTTTGTTATCGTGAGATCGTTCAGCTGAGTGGAGTCTTAAGACAACTTGCCGGCAAATGATTCAGACAAAATGTCCGCCACTGAGTAAATTCCATCTTAACAAACTGACCCTGAATGGGTTTCAAACGCACTCAACGCATGTCCTCTTTGATAGCTAACTTGTAACACTGTTCTCTACTTGGGAATGTTAGCTCAACTGCACTTTTGTTTTCACATATATAATCTGCGTTTTACTGGCATTTTACATTGTTAGCTGTCTAGAATATATAGCTGTTAAGGCTGTCCAGCTAAGCGCGCAAACATATGCCACAGTACAGATGCCATATGCAGAGTAGTACCAGTTTTCGGTAGTTTGATCTGCAAATATATTTCTCAGTTTTTTGATGAAATTTATGGGTTATAACAGAAATGATATCTACAAGTTGAAGACACAGTCATTAAAGCTTATCCACGTTTCAAAGGCCTCCTGGAAACCCCGAGACTTGAGTATACCCAAAATGTTCTCCCGATAAAAGAGTCCAATGATTAAAGAACATTTTATGTTTCTTTAAACAAGCAGACTTTTTTGTCTGATTTAATCACGTACAGGCGCGATTCCACTTTCATGCTGACATTTTTTTCGACTTCATGCGAGTTTGCGGTTTCGGCTTTTCATATGCAAAGTTCGATGAAATGCTCAAATAATTGACAGCCTCTGAAGAAATTAGGGATAAAAATAGACCTCGCTACATTTATAAATAAGACAAAACGGATTAGAAGAAACCTTATTGAAATTACTAGTTTCAAAAGCGACTCTTCTACAGCTTATCGAACTCAGCTCTGTCCAAAACTAGCTTGCTATCAAAGAGGTTACCGTTTTGTTCAACACCTAAAAACATGCATAGTCTCTACAACATAATGCGAACAAAAGTCAGGAACGCCTATGAATAAATTCCAGAGAGCCAGAAGGGAAAACAACTCGATCACTCGCCAGACAACAAAGCAACGCTGGGAAACTTTGTTTAACCACTGGGACCTTCTTAAAAATATACTGAAGCTGTAACTTAACAATTTCCTCATATCATCAAATACCAAAGAATACGCCGTAGGCCGTAGGTGTGAAAATCAAAGGAATTGTCAAATATGCACTCTTTACTTCATGTACGCTGATCACAGGGTGTAGACGTCACTGTTGCTAAGTCGTTAGATCTGTACTTTTGTACATGAAAGAAACGTTTCGCACACGCTATTGTCAATGTGTGTTTACTGCTGCTTTACAATAGCTTTGCGATACAAGCCAAGCTTTTAAGGCAAGCCTTGCCATTTAGCTATTTTATATCAGGCAAACAAACTGCCAAAGCGCCCTTTCTCTTTCTATGTCTTAGGAGGAGAAGGTCACGTGATTAATGTAAAAAGCTTGGCGAAGTATAAGAATAACGTCACGAACTTGATTGATTTCCTCGTCAAAACTGTCAAACCGACGCATTATCAGTTCTTACAGTCGTAAAGCTTTCTAGATAACAGAAGAACACAGCTTAAGGACGCCAAATCGCGCGTGGGTCGTTAGCTCTGGAACAACCATTAGTCCGACAGACTTGGCATTGTAACGCGTCGTTTTAGATGTCTTGAGCAAGAAGGATGCAAAAGTGATGAGTTTCATCGAAAAAGGCTAATCGGTTTTCTTCACAAGTTTCTTACACATTTTGATCAATTAAAACGAAGAGAAAAACACTCGTTAATGCTGCGACGAATTGAAAGTGCGCACCGCACACCAGCCAACAATAGCGCACGATTTCACGGTTAAATTACTCAGCTCTTTTAATGAAACACAGAATAGCATTGGATTACTTATGCATAGACAAAATAATTTGATGTTTTTAACACGACAGCACTCTGCGGACAAAAGCTACACAACGTGCGCGACAGGTGCTAACGTGCCGTGGAGAGGCTAAGTGAAAATATCAAAATTCAAATTGTGTTCTTGTTTCGCAGATTGTTCCGTTTATTGTTGAGAAAATTTAAGCAACTATTCGACCAGTGCGCTCGTTGGGGACTCCATGCGACTTTTCGCTAAAAAAATACAACTGAACAATACAGTTTTATTTGTCTGAAATTAGAATGATAAATAGTTGCCTTTGTTTTACAGATACTGTCGTTCAAAAGAGCTGATCTATCAAACTACTCTCCCAGTTTAGTCGAGTATAAATTAAATCAATATCTTTCTGCTCGGAAACGATGAATTTTCTTCTTCAAATTTAATACAAGCGACTGAAAGAATTCATGTTTAATTTAGTCTCACTGGTGTAACGAGACGGTGGATTCTCCACGCCGTGACACGAAGCCAGAAATGCTTGGTCACTTCTCATGAACACAAAAACACATAAACATCGCAAGTGAAAGAACAGAAATTAGTATTCTTGTAGCAATTACAAGTTGAGACATTTTTGAAGCTCTGTTTATAACTAAGCGTTAATATTAGGGAACCTGTTTATTTTCATCACAGATGGTTGCTTGCATGTATTTACACCGAACATAACTCACTTGTAAGGCTTATCATTGAATCCAGCATTTTAATTTTTTTTTTTTTATCGCGAACTCTAACTGAAGTGTACAGTCAGAGCCAGTTCTGCCGTAGATAAGAGTTTGTTCCCCGATCGTGCGATAACTAACATGTTCTACCTGTGTAATATTAACGTCAGACAAGTTAAGTCGTTCCCGTATCGTGGTGAATTAAGAGATACGACAAGTATCACACGGAACGTTCTAGATAGCATTTTCCAATTAATTTGCCGACAAGTTGTTGTAGATTCGCAGTTGAGCCCTTACAAAACTAAGAAATGTAACACTATGAAGTTTGTCTGTGTTGTTAAAATTGTACCATGGCAAAATTGTAGTTGACGGTTTAATGGAATGAACTTTTATCTCTGAGGAACAGGAAAACCACGTCTAAAATAACCCTGACTATCTTATCTGGGATAAAAACAATTTTGCTGAACTTGCCTGGGCAAAACCTCACGTACGCAGTTATACCCTTAAATTTATCCCTAAAAGTTCAATCAGAAATTTGACCCAACTGATAGAGGGATACCTCCTGTGCTGACATTTCGTGTTCTGATGGCAGCAAAGTCCTGCTTAAAGATTTTTCTGTTCTGTGCAGGTAAAACCTGTTAAACCTGCTAGTTTAGAGGAAAAATATTCACTGACATCCGCACGAGCGACCACAGTCAAAAGGCGTGTATTTTTTCAATTTCGATATTAAACATAGCATATTTATTGACCCAATATTTACGTAACCATTTCGTGCATGAGTGTCTCAGCACATCCTATGCGTGGGTCATGCTTTCTGTTTAACTAGTAGATATTAATTAAACCGCTGAAACTTCTTATGGCTTTTAGTATCACCCGTCAAAGCCCCTTGCAGTAAACCTTTTATCGTAAACTGAGGTGTCTTAACCAAGAGAAACTGAAAGTTCCATTCCAGTACTTCGCCATCACTGTACTTTCCTTTCAATCACAATATTTTATCACTAGATAAGAGGTGTTTGTTTTCTCCACAGAGATTCCGTGAAAGCAAAACGAAACTCGCTTGCTAGCGTGTTTGTACACCTACGCTGTGTTGTAATTCATCGTTGCCTTGACATCGGTGGATTCGTACAAGCATGTTCAACGCTTGGCCGCTCCACCGTTAACTTGTAAATCAGTGGTAATAAATAATTTCGTACACCTTGTTGGCGACCTTAAAAGCCGGTAGCTTTCACGGGACCTAACTCGAGGAAACCCAAAGTGGGCGTATAAAACAGATATCGAAAACTAATCAAATAACTTTGTTTTTTCACTGGATGGAATATTGTCTTAATACCCTTTTAGCACAGCGTGTTGCCAACCCTCTCACTTACTATTAGTTAACGGCGTTTGGCCGTCACAGTCTGTTAATAAAAAGCTTCCTGCGATAAAGAAAATATAGCCGGGCTTTTGACAGTCACCAACGAATTGGGATTAATCAGCACTTTTTGCAACTAAACACTTCTCTCGAAACAGGATACGATAAAAGGGGCGGATTTCTTTTAATATTTCCTTGGCGAGGTTCGCGACTTAAACCTGACTAAAAATACGGAAGCTTTTTCTCTTTTGCATTAAAGTTTCTTATCGCATAAAAAAGGCGCGCTTATCCCATAGCACAAGGTACCTTCGTGGTGACTATCTTAATTTTTTTTTTTTACTACTAGTTCCCTGAGTGACGAGGTCAACGCAACATATCTTAGTTGATTATTGGTTTTATTCTCAGCACCTACCTGACAGGAAATGTATCGAATATAGTTGGGAGAAAATCGGAACAGATCTAGTACACGGAAGGCCCGGAAATAAAGCTGAATTGCAGGTTTGAAAGCACATTTGAAAAAGAACCATTTCGAGATAAAGATCGCTGTAGATTTGCTTTTAGGCTAAGTGCACATTAATGCAAACTATACTAGCTCTGAAAACAACGTGTTTTAATCTGAAATACAGCACTTAACTTTCGACAACTGTGAAAACAAATATAAGTCCCTTTTAAGCCGTAAAAGCATTGCTTTTAAAACCTTAGCCGAAAGTTTAATTAATGATCGCCAGCTTCTCAACAGTGTGCAAAGGCAGAGTTTATATCGCTCGTAGAGCCCCGACCAAAAGTCGATACGGGATTTATTGCATGGTTGTTTTATCTTGCTATTTTCCTTGTTTTGTTTGAGTTCTGGATGTTTCCTTTGTAGTCGATATACAAGTAATTCACCATACTGAAAACTTGGCAAATATTTTTCTTAGTCCCTCCATTAGCAATGAATATAATATTACCTTCTCTTTTACGCAGCGACACATTTTTAATCAACGTAACATTGTTATTTAAGTACACAATTGCTTGGAGCGCCCCGCCGCCATAATCTAACATTTTTAATATCTGCTGGTTGATAATTTCAATTTCGTGCTGTTAAAAGCGGTGTTATTAATCACACAAGTTTGATAGGAGAAAAAAAGAATTAAAATGCGTCTTGCTGATACACTAGAATAGCTCAAATGATTGCAAACGTCTTCTCGCAGCGTTTTTTAATAAATTCCCGTCCATTCAGACTGCGAAGTGTCAGAGAAATAGATTACTTGAAAAGCAAACACATAAGATTGAAAGCCACGCAAAAACGTGCACTTTTACGCCCATAAATGGCTTTTCTTTGCGAGAGAAAGCGTTCTAAATGCAATTATTTGACTGAAAATTCCACACAGGAGCAACCCTCAAGCCAATCGCAGGAGTTAGTTGTCATTGAAAATGTATACAATATTAAACTTCCATGCATGTTTAATTAATCCTCAGTCACAGCTTAATCAAAAAGGCCGTGTGTCGCCATCTTGTTACTTATTATGATGTGGTTTTAGGACTGGGAGCAGAAAAACTCGTGAAAATATCCATAAAGTTCTGGTGCCTCAAACGTGTCCTTTCAAAGAGATTATTGCGCGTTCCGAGATCAAATCAGAAAGCTTTCAAAGCTATCGGCGAACTTTCAAATGACAAGTCTTACATTGGTAGGTCAACCGGGAATGAAAAATTGGTTTCACTTCGACGCTTAGTTTGCGACAAGCAGCATATTAACAAGCGAGATGCTGTCATCGAAAATATCAGCTTCTGGGAAGATAGCATTACTGCTAAATTACAATTCACCGTCTGTTATCGCTGAGCTATCACTTCTTACCGTTTATTTCAGCAGACATTGCTCGGAGCTTGAATTTTCTCGGTCGATGTTCGCCGTCAGAACTGACTGATCCTGTGTGTATCCGTCCGTTTCAACACTACGGAAGCAATAAATGAATGCGATTTGAAGCCTGCAAAAAGAAAGCAAGAGAGATTCATTAGTGTAGAAAGGCTTAGTAATATTACAATAAACTTTGTGAATCTGTGATCGGTCAGCATTCTGTGCTCACCCTCACAGTCTCTCCTGCTTCGAGATTTGGCGCGAGCACTCCGCGCGAGGACCTTGAGAAAAGTGGGTTCAATTTTAAATTTGAGCCCTCTTGCAAAACAATCGTGCGGAGAAGTTGAGAAATTTGATAAAAGTAAAAGCTACTCTTACGTTATCAAAGATGCCCCCACAAGGAGATTAGCATAACACTAATGAAATTTTATTAAATTGAATGCAGTGTATACTATTGATTAGGCCATGTTCCCTACTTTTCAAATAGCCTTTTAATTATTTAACCGGATCTGACCACAAACCCATGTAAATTGAAAACTGCCTCGGGAGCTGTCGCTAATTACGAATACCAAAAACAATTGTTTTTCGTTTCTTTTCGAACGAAATTAAACGGAGTTTCGCGCTAACGAACAATGATCACAATGCAGTCGATTAATTCCTCTTTGAGGTGTAGAGTGTAGATGGCAAGTTAGTTAAGGAATTATTCACAACTCTGGACAGACCCCGCGACTGGGCATACGCGATAAAGCAAACAGAGTTCGCTCGCTTGCGTTCAATTACACCCCATTCTTTAATTGAAATGTATAAATAACACTTAAATCTCCTAAGAAGCAAAGGTAAATATCGTATTTCTTTACACGTTCCTTCATTAACACAGAAGCATTAAAGTTCTTTCTGACAAGAGTGATAAAAGTTGCCCAGACATTTGAGACCTTTCTAGTGATAAGAGTTACCAGAAAGAAATTATCGAACATAACTGATAACCGCGTTGCTTTGGGCTGGTTCCATTTTGCGTTGTTTAATTAATCCCGACAAAAATAAGCCATTTACTATTTTTCTGTTCCCACTTGTTAATTACCTGATGGCTGGCCAACCTTTCGCGAGTACAGTAGAAAGGGAAATTAAAATTTCTGCTGGCTTGCTGTGGCACGTTCATCAATCGACGCTTTTCAATTACAAACCGCGAAATGAAGATCTTGTTTGTTTTGTTTTCCGTTCGCTACAGCTCAATTTGCTTTATCGTTCGCCAGCCCAAGACCTGGCAATTTTGGTCCTAATTGAAAAATAAAAGCGAAAAGAAGTCTGACGTTCGTCAAAATTTATCGCGAGCTCTTGTTTACTTTTCCAGCTCTAGTAAAATGCGTTTCGCTGTCCAAAGTTACGACCTTTGTGAACGTACAGCCTTACAATCCGTTTCGGGGTTAAACCACACTCCCGCGAAAATATTTTTCGCTTTATTCTGTCAGGCATTATTAATTTGGTTTGAGGACAGGGAGAATGAATTTTTTAATAATGAGGAAAAACTTTCGCAGTGTACTAATATCTGGAAAGCTTTCATGCCATTAACAGAATAACGCTTTTATTTCGTTCCCTCTGCCGGGTCAACGTTTATGAAGCCCTCATTAACAATTAACATGTTTCGCGGGTAAATTGCAATCAGACAAAGCTAAAATACGCGCTCTAGGTACAATTGAATAATAAAAGCAGTTGAAGCCAACCTGTGTTAAGGGTGGTTTTCCCTTTCCTTTGACAGTGACTGGAAGATTCACTTATAGTGAACAAGCCTTATTTTTGTCATTGTTAGATGGCTAAAAGCCTTATTGGTTTAAAATATTTCACTGATCTGTGTCACATTTACGATAGTTAATCCAGAAAGAAAAAGACAGTGAAGAGAAAAAGACTCCCTTGTTTGCCGTCAAACAGACTTATTTATTTGAGCCTTAAGCTGGATGTTGTATTAATTTTCACTTTCGATGGCAAGATAACATCAGATGGGCAAATGTAATTTAATTCTGACATTTCTCAATTGGCTCGACAATTAATGGGTTTCCTGGTGACACAGTACGGCTCAAACTTGTTAATTCCTGTGAGTACGTCGTCAGAAATTCATTTTTCCGAAATGAGAAAAAAATATATGTGGCAGGGGGTAAAATGAAATTATATTTGCTAAGAGCATACGGAGTTCTGTCAAGGATTTTTTGTCATTAATAACCTTTAACTGATGAAATTAATAAATGGAATTTATGTTATCGCTATTTTGGTGAGAAAGTAAAACAATTATTCTACATTAACATGCTTTTATGGAAATAACGTTCCATTATTATAACATGACAAAAGGGAACATGCTACATTTGAAATATTTTCTTCTGCTAAAACACACTTTAACTCTCGGACCGGATCTCGTTTAGAAAGAGGCTACCGTCGCCATTGGAAAGAAACAATGGACGTGAAAATAATCTTTCACTTTGTAATGTCAAGAGCGCGGCAGAAATTTTAATTTTGGTGATTATGGGCCAACATTTTCTATGATTGCATTTTGCTTAAGGAAAAAAAAAACCTTAATAGTAGAATCTGGCTAAGATTCAAAAAGCTTCTGCACATATATGACATATTCAGAATATACATATCAGTAGAATTAACGGCACGAAAAATTTTCTGCTGGCAGAAATGTTTTAAATTGAAGGGGTGGCAGACTGTCAAAAATTTCATTTCAGTAATGGCTTCTGGTCTTCAGGATTAATTAGTTAAATGTGGATTTCTTTTCGAGCCAGAACACGAAAAATAAGGTGTAAAAAAAATTGAAGGTGAAGACCAGCTCTCTTTCTTCTTCGTCTGCTACTGGTTTTATAGTGAAATCAGATCGTCATGTCTGAAATTAAAAGGCTTGCCCTCAAAACCGAGCGCTCGATCGATCGTAGTGAGTAAACAAGCTCATAATTCCTAACGCCAGAAGGACACCTTTTTCCTCAGTTTTGAACATGTTTTTGAGGCCGGATCGCATAAAATGTTTCTCAAAGACAGGATCACTTTAAATCCTAAAAAGAATACGATTAAAGAATTGCACAATTAAGCTATTTGCCTGAAATCTAATTGTGGGCCACTTACCTGAAGTCTAACGGGAGTGAAAATGTTAACGACAAATTTACAATTTCGCTCTAATCAAATGCGAGTGTTAATTTCTTTAAAACAATTAAAGTACCACTAAGAGGATGGTTTGGTCGTCGTTAAACTTGATTAATGACAAGACAACGTCATCGTTAAACTGCCCGGAAAGACAATCAAAGATTCACTAAAATGTCTCCTTTTGTGATTGTCGAAGTTCCTTCGGCAACTTTTAATCGTATATCAGTCATCTGTTTTCCTTGTGTCTTAAAAATTATCCGTTCTATTGCAGTTCGATTGATCAAGTTTCTGATAAAGCAAAGCACTTTGCGTTTGCCAAGCTGATGTCAACCTGATGACTCATCAAAGAACACAAGAGGTAAAATTTGTACCAATCCAAATGTTTGAGGGTTGGAGACCACAACTTTCGGGGCTCATCCATTGTTCCGTGGCATGAAGCCGGATCGCGTGTATTGCGCTACACCCCCACCCCCACCCCCTTCCCCTCCTCCTACCTGTTGGGGTTGCTAGTCCCATCGCAGGTTACCCAATAGAAGTTCTAGGTAGCAAATTTCTTGTGGGAAAGAAGCAACTGTAGTTCAACGCCCTAACCGATCAACTCCTTCACTTCCGATTCATGCAGTGTTCCCAAGACAATATCGTTAAATGCTGAGTGATGAGGTCTCGATTCTTTTCTGCTAGATAAACTAATTTCCATTGCACTGAAATAGAGAAAAAATGTTGCTTGAGAGAATCTTATGCTTTGCCAGGAAAGGTTCAATTGGAAGACTAAGCTTTCTCCAAAAATTCTAATCAATGGTGCTTTTTTAATGCCTTTCTTAGACTCCAAGGATAAAAATAATAACTTTCTTTTCCCTTTATTAATGTTGCTTGTCCAAATGTAGGGGTAATTGGAAAAAGGCAATTTCAGTGAGGTAGAAACTAATTGGAAGATTGAGTATTTTGTGGTATCGTGGAACAAAACAAATTAGAAACAAGACATTACGATAATGAGCATTATCACAACAGATGGCTTTTCACGAAGAATATTTGTACTATTAAACTTACTGATGCATCGTACAAAAAAAAAAAGAAAAAGAAAAGAAAATTCTTGCTGCGTTCAAAGACTGAGACTACATATTTAAAAGAATTAGATGCATGTGCTGAGTATATTGAACCAAAGGCAGCAATTATCAATATTGTTTTCGCCAGCTGCCTCTAATTAAATAAACTCATTTTCGTAGCAAAGTATTTAAAAATTGATTCCTATTCTACAGGAAAAATAATCGATGAAAAAGGACTGAACGTCAAATAGTTTTTGTTATTTCTCTTCTTGCGCCTTATTAAAGCGAATCGCTTTTGCTATCTTAGTCCAATTATAATTTTTGTTTTGTAAATTTCACTGAATCCCTACAGACTCAATCTTAGTAGAGGCAAAGGTCTCCCTTATTAAAATCATACAAACTTTATATTACTTCATAGAAAAGTGTGAAATAGTAATTTGCCAAGCCATTCACAGCAATGATAGTTTGAGTGATACCAAACAGTTCTAGGTCAAATATGTATTCCTAATCATCTTTCTACGAAAAAGAGTAATTTGGATTTACAAGGCTTTGGAGTAAAATTAGTTGAATGCCCAGTTCCTTTTATGAGGCAAGCCTGCAAGGAATCATGGTCTTACACGCCTGCGGAGAATCATGGCAAGTGTTGAGCTGCTGCATGGTTTTCTTCAGCACGTCTTCAATGATTCCGTAAGCAAGGGTGTTGTCAAGAAACCTTGGCACTGGTAAATGGAACTATGGGTTGCCATCCCATCATTCCACACAACTAATTCGGAAGAATAGCTCTGCACTTGCACTAACGTCACAATATCCAAACAACCGCCATCTTGGATCCTGGCCATGTTCACGATTTTCTTGATTTTCTAAACAGGTGACTCACAACAAATCGAATCAATCATATAATGCCAGAAGGTCTTAAACATATCAGTAGAAATTTTGGTAATTCGAGCCAGAAATTCCACGTTTCAAAAAACAAACCTGTGCCATGGAAGCAAGTTCAGGGTAAAATAACATGTCGTACCGAATAGGGCACGTTCGATATATCAACATTCTAACATGGCTTCGAGGCTTTCGGGACAAGCTTCTATATTTGGTGTTGTTTTCTTTGTATCCAGGTATCTTTTGGGAATTGAAAGACAAAAGAAACTTTAAAAATTTATAATTTTGACCCGAAAGCCTCGAAGCCATTTTAGAATATTGATATATCGAACGTGGCCTATTGTATGCAGATAGATTTCTGCGACAGTCGCAAAGTTTGGCAACGTTTACTTAAATGTAATATTTTTTATATTGACGACTTAACTTAGCACAGGCACCTTCCGCCCAGTCTCAATAGGTTTAACCAACTCAGACTTCATGAACATAAGTTGATTAGAAGATAAGTAGCAGGTCTAAGTATTGAGTAGAACTTAACACCGTCCTCTGATTGGCTACACTACTCACTATCTATTCTGTTGTAGATAGTGAGTAGCCTAGCAGGGTGTGGTTGTTGACAAAATGACGGTAGCTTCTCTACCTTTTCGAAGTGTCTGCGAAGTGGATTTAGATAAAGTTTCGAACGATTAGTAGATTTATATGCGTGATAATTGACTCGGGCTGTACTCTCGTCAGGACCCGTCAGCTATCACGCGATAGACGTCTCGAGCTCATAATCTAATTGTTAACCTTTAGGATATTTTCTCTCATATCATATTTTTAGTCGTAGCCGAGAATGGAAATTTGGTGGTATTCTTTTCAGTCCGTCTGTAATGACTGAATCATATCCAACGTTGTCCTTGTTGGGCGAAAGACATCACGTGTCTAGGAGATGCGAAAACAGAAGATATCAAAAAGCCTGTGAATGAATTATTTTATTCTCGAAAATGACCAGATAATAAATCAAACTGGTAAGGCTGATCAACCAAAAAACACCTAAAATGACATTTTGTTTAATTTCATCTCGAAAAAATGTATTTTCGATGTTTGGTTGCTTTCAGACCCCTGTTCAATACAATAAAGTTACCATGGTTTACATTTTTGAGATGTTTTCTCAAGTGAAAGATAGCCTGCTTGCTCGCTAGCTAGGTGATAAGCATTTTTTTAAATATCCGTTATACTTGTGCAAAAGGGCTAATCTCGTGATGTTTGATGTGAAAGGAACTAGAAACAAAGATATGGTGGACCTTGATAGTATGACTTGCAAGGCAATACACAGAAGGTTCAAAGAATAAAAGAACAGGTAGTCATCAGGGTGGAGCACTTGCCGGGTTTGGAAAACTGAAAAATGACTACAAGAAAAAGGAAAGACTTGTGTCAAAGGTAGGGGGAAACAGCGAAACAGGAGTAGTTTGCGTCTACCAAAGAATTTGAAACACGAAAGATAGTATCGCTGGCAAATCGTTTTATGGCAACTTCGTTTTGGAAAAGCCTCGATCAGTATAGGCCATATAAGGTTCGTCAGTTAATTATTTCGTTCGCTCATTTCTATCCATCTTCTTGTGGTGGCTGGAGTTCTATTTCTTTCTTCCAGCCACTGCAGCCACACTAAGACGAAAGCAATAACCACAATAACAAGGAATGGTCATTCAATCGAGAGTGGCTGGGGGCGCGCGTGTGAACTTCCCATGTTTTGCTCGTGAGGTCGAATGTTCTCCATTTATTAAAAACCGTTAAGCGGGGCGTCAAGTTCTACAACTGTTAAAAAATTACTCCAATTTATTGATTTAACGATAAACATAACTTTGCCAACAAAATAGACTCAGTAATGGATCAATAAACCCTCCTTCTATTTCATAAGAAAAACCCGAAATTACCATATACGGTATGTACCCGCTATGCTCATCTGTTCCGGGCTTGTCGCTTCCATATTAGCCTTTGTTCTCTTCTCCCACCAGATTCAATATCTCCTTGTCTGTCGGTTTGTAACAACAATGTTTAATTTGTTACAAACCTACAGACAACGTGATATTGACTTTCGCGGGATCAATCTATTAATAGTTAAGTTATTTTGAATATAACTTAACTATTAATAGATTGAAAATAATTATCACATTGGCGCGAGTAGAGCACATCACGACGGCGAGATTGACTCTGAAGTTACATGTAATGAGTCTCTTTGGGGTTTTAATGCATGCTATTTAAGAACGCGTAGTCTCTTTCTAAAATCCTTTTTAATTTCTGTTGTAAAAATTAAATTAAATAACTTTTTCTATCAATACCGTTGTAATCACTTGATTACCACGGACATCAAAATGTCTACTACAGCAATAAGACTGATGGCGCTCAGGGTTTTTTATGAACGATATCGTATTCTTATTGCATGTAATTAATACCTATTAATAGCTGTTTATCATAAACTTGATGCGTTTTCTCTTAACAAAAGGGATGAGTTTTTTTTTCAAGTTTTCAAGTTACTCGAGAACGCTCATACTCTGGATGAAAGACTTTGGAGTCTTTCGTTTTCACTTTTAACAAGCGTTTTCGGTCGATGGAATCTGGTTGACATTAGCACTACGACCTTCGACGTCTGTCTCACTCAGCGTGCTTTTTATTTTCATAGTCAATTAAACAGAAAATATTAGTTGGCGTTTAATTATTGCCGCCAGGGTTAGACATTCTTACACGTTCAGTTTCTTCTCGCATAAAAAATTTGGCGCCTCGCAAATATTGAGATCCCTGTTGTCAGCTCTCTTTATAATCATTTTTGTAGCCAAAGAAGATACTTCTGTCGTTTTAGGTCTTTGTTCTACCCTTCTTTTTTATGTCAGCCACAAATTTGAATTTCAAATTGTCTATTTTTCGTAACGTTGTTTTGTCTAGGGGCTTAAATATCTGAACTATTTGCTTATTAGAGAAAATTGAAGGTTTGCTCGAGTAGGTTTTAGAGTGTGTTTAGAATGTGGTCACAATTCATTGTTTTTGGTCTGTCCTTGAATCAAAAGTGTCCTCGTTGATATCGTCTCAATTAGGCATTGCTCGAGAAAATATCACCTGCCTACGTTATACTTCTTAGCAATTAACCACAATATCATTTATAGGGTTTTAAAAGCAATTAAAAAATATATTTTGGCTACAGCAAAATCAAAGAGACTCTAACTGTCAGTTAGACAATCGTCTGTACTAATACTATATGCGCCAAATATGTGTCCAAACTAATGCAGTATTTTTCCACGAAATCTATCAAAACGGGTCTTAAGAATCAACCATTGTATATTACAGGCATCCACATGATGACACTACCATTCCACCATACTCTGTTAGCGCGATCGATCTGTCGCTTGTCTTATACAAAACACTAATGCCATGCAGTTTGGTCGGAGCACATAATGGGGATGGAATCCGACCATCCATTCTGTGAAGGATGCTTTGCAAAATGGCGTGATTAGTCGGTTCTAGATGCATGTCTAGAACGTGTGGACAGACCCCTTCACAGTAATTGGCGGTATAACCACTCGGGGCAATAATCCAGTTCCACTTAAGCGTCTTGAACTGTACGTAAGCCCAACGGCGTTTACACCTATTGAGTGTACTTGAACGTCTTACACGGTTTCTCGTGGTCGTTGAGGCGTTTTGCGAAACGTTGTCGTCATCATCCTCTGGCACCATGCTATTATTGCAGTTCTTTAGCGTCTTTGACACTTTCAGTGAGTTTGGAGAGTATGTTACCAAGAAAGGTGCCTTTTTTCCATGTGCTCCAATACGAAAATCTGTCGGAAAAGCCTTGACCCCATCTACTGTTAAACTCAAGCCAAAGTTTTCTTCAGGCTTGTCTATCCAGAATTTTACCGCGGCCGTGACGTCCAAGCTGATCCACCGGCCGACTTTCTCCTTGTAACTTACAAGGTGGGAAGCAACAAGAACTCCACTGTTCCTGTTCTGGAAATTTTTCAGGCGAAGAACTCTGATCTTAAAATGCCCTTCTGTGTTTTGGCCCAGCGGTTTCTTCTTGTAAATCCTCAAATGAGCTTTCTTGACTTTTTCTCCGGCTGCTATAACAGACAAATTGAAGTAAAATCCATGATGTAGTGGCCCTGTATGCTCGCCATTCCCTGCGGCTGAAGAGGAAGAAAACAAATATGAGAAATCTCGGTGATATTTATAATTATTGTTACGAAACGTTTTATGGCTACCAACTACGTTCTGTAACTTATGAGATTCTCTAAAGAGCACTTACGTTCTCGGAAAAACACTCTTACTACGTCGGTCTCCCGTTGGTTTACACCAGTACGATGTAAAAGCGTCCGCTTTCTGTACAAGTTGAGAAGGAATCGTGGCACGGTCTCCCTTTGCTTTGACAGCTCTTGCGATTGAACGTCCCCCGAGTTGAATCCCCGAAGCAACGTGGAAGATTGACTGGAAATCTTATCAGATATCTCATGTGAAAGGCAGAATAACAAACTGAATATAACAAATCTCGCAAACATAGTGTAGTGTCATTCGATTACGCTGTACGTACGGAATGTTGTTTTCGAGTTGAGAGATGTGCGGGTTTTAGAGCTCATGCGAATACCGCGTACCCTATATATGTCGATACCAGCTCTCTTTCAAACAGCCCAGTCGTCTTTTGGACGAGTAATTTATAGATAGGCGAGCGGCTTTCTTTACATCTTTTACAGTTAAGTTTAACCCATATCAGAGGTGAATATTCATGTGATGTTTTTCAATAATGATATGACAGCTCTTCACGGTCCACTCCACATACTTGAATAGATTACTTTTAGCTCTCGTGGAAGTTTGTAGAACGGTCGCAGGTGCGGCGGAAATTCATTCACATCGAGACCAACCCTGTCCTTTAAAACTATTCTTGTTTATTACAAAAGAAAATATAACACAATAATGAAAGGAAGGGCGCGGTGATTGAAGATCGTACAAGAAGGAATAGAAGTGATGACTTTGTATTTTCCTGAACAAATCTTTCCCAGATTAGGGCCTTGTCTACTTTCATGCAAATTTCCGAGACAAAATATGAGAAACGAATAATTCTAATTTCGTGCTGAAACACTAATCACGAGTCATTTTAGAGCACTAATGCATCTTCCATTGTTTTGAACCAGTGATTATTTCTAACAACTGACCAATTTCTCAGTGTATATAAATGGAACAACGGACCATTGTTGTCGTCGCCAAAGTGTAACCAGCTTAAGAGGCCCTTCTGCGTTCCACGTCGATGACTCCTCTATTCAAAGAAAATAAAACGAATGGGCGTACTTTATGGGAAGCGAATTACTGTGAACTGTGAAGTGTGTTTATTTTTTTCTTTCACAATTTTACATCAGTTGAATTTGTTTGCGATTTCGCTTGTAGAACCCCTTGTAGCTTCTTGTTTTCTTTCGCCTCTGAACCAAACTTCTTTCCTTTCCTTCTTTCCTTTCTAACCCACACTCAACAATCATGCACAGGTAAATGATCTCATTAATTTCATACTCATTTTATCAATTGTAAATAGTTTTGTTAATTTTAATTTATTTTTAGTGTCCCCATTTAGTGGTTATTTACTGCTACTTTAGTTTGACACTTAAATAAAGGTATTCCTTCCTTCCTTCCTTCCTTCCTTCCTTCCTTCCTTCCTTCCTTCCTTCCTTCCTTCCTTCCTTCCTTCCTTCATTCCTTCATTCCTTCAAGTTTCATAAATGTAATTTTGCTTATGCTCAAAGCCTCTTGTACTATTTGGACACAAGACGCTAAATTGAAGGGAGGGCATAACTTACTCCAATGTACATTGATAACTTCATGCATCGATAAGTTCTGCGATCCGAAGATTTCATTTTAAACCATACCAACTATATTCTATTTCAAAGCTTCCGTAACTGAGATGCAAACATGCCAAGAAATACAGTTATATGTGCTGTAATCAGCTGTTATGATCTAAATGCGGAAAATTTCGATAATGTTACATGTAAACCACGGTAAAATATTTCATTTATCAAAGCTCAGAACATCCATACTATGGTGAACTGTGCTTGATTGCGCTGCCTTGAATCTGGCTTCAGTACTCCACATCCAGTGCAGACAGTTTAGGTGCACTGGTGCTAGTGAATTGTCGAGTTTTGAAGAGCTAGTATTATCAATTATTCTCATGAGAGATGCCTTATGTAATAAGCTAAATTATTCCTGTATTTTGATTGCTTCTTACATATGATCTATCAGAGGACAATCGTAAACAATATGTGAATGACGTCATTGACATTTTTTGTTTCTTTATTATATAAACTAGATAGATTCCATGTTGCCCTTCGTCTCAAAGAAGACGACGTTGCGTAGGACGACGGCTGGAAAAAATGAATTTATATTTTACCTTTGAATTTCGCAGTTGTCTAGAACTTACATGTGCGCCGAGTGGTCTAAAAACCTACTCAAACTAATGATGTAACGCCAGCGAACCCAGAAGAAAATACGAAAAATGATCCGTTCAATTCAAAATACGCAAAACTTGGTCATTTCAAGTTTTTGTTTTGCAGAGGACGGTTACGCCTTTTGTTTGAAGACGTTTTCATTGCCGTTGCCGTCGTGGTTTGCTTAAGCTCCCCAATAGAACGAAGATGACGTCAAATGTGGTGAGACCTCCATGCACAATCTCTTGACGGCTCGAGGGCCTCTTTTTTGTTTTTACCGCATGTTGATGTAACTGTGACCTGTTACTTAAGAGCGCACGGCAACATGAGATTTATGGGCTAATTTTACCACAGGAAACAAATATAATAATAAAATGATGAAAACCGTATTGGCCTGAAAAAGTGATCAGCAGATCCAGAGAACAGTGTTCGGAGAAAATACCCAAGATCTGGATGATTCAGTCCGACATCAATAACTTCTGCGATAAAACAATATTGATGCTGCCATCCGTGCAAGGTTACACACAATGATTATACGTTTGAACTGTTCTCGGAATTAAAAACACCATGATATCGAAAGAGAGGCAATTGGAAGCTTTGTGTTCTGAACTGTTTACCCAAAGACGTTTATGCATTTTAGAGGCTCTCAGTGAGGGAAGGTATCCAAGGCTTCCTTATAAATTTCAAAGCTTCTCGTTTCGCAATTTGGACTTAATTCCCTTATGTCACTGTCATTAGTTTGTCATTTCACCCAACGACTGTCGTTAATAACGCAGGTATACAGATCAACAGGAGCTTTTCGAGCATCTTGTCATTGCGACTTAATAGAGGTGTACTATTATATTTTGTGAAAATTTTTCCGCCGACAAAAAGTTCACAAAGGATAAACCGTAGTTAAAACAAATCTAAATACTATGCCTGAGGGAGGAGGGGAATCCGCACCTTCTTCATAGCTTTAAGAATATTTTTAGCAATGCGAATGAAACGAATGAAACTTGGAAGGTATATAGTACGTCCAAATTGAGAAGATGTCATAATATCACGTGGGAATTACGTCATCATTTTAAACACACACCATATTGGATTCCCCATCTTAGATTGCTCGATTTTTCCAAAACGCAAGAAAATCACCCAAAATCTCAAAGCTAATTACAGTCAATATCACAATACTAAAAGAACAATAATTATAAAGAAAACAACTGCATTGAAGTTAAATTTTGTTAATAAGAGCAAGAAGATTCCAAATTTGGAAAAAATGAACGTTGAAATGCGGTTGTCATGGGAACGGAATATGTCCAAAACTTCACCGACGCTAACGAAATGCATGCTCCTTATGGTATGCGCACAAAGTGTCCTAATTCGAAAGAAGTCACCAAAACACGCATATTTCTGTCAAATATGATCGAATTAATATGGAAATGAAACTTTGGGTTGCTTATCATAAAGATTATGCATCTCCTAGACAGGGGCGGAATTTTCAGATGTAACCAGGATTGCACTCTAATTAACCATTAGATTATTCGCTCTCGATTTCTATGAGGTGATAGTTGATGACACCGAAGGCCGTATCAACTATCACCTCAAAGAAATCAAGAGCTAATAATCTAATTGTTTTAGTAGAATTCTAACTGAAATTAACGCAAATAACGGTTTCTAATTATTTTTCTACGCATTATTAAACTTTACGCTTTAACAAAATCGCACGGATTGAATTTGCATTGGAAATTTGCAGTTGTTTACGCGCGCGCACCTTTTTTTTTTTTTTTTTTTAATAATTTCAAGTTTTTAAAGTCAGGAAACCATTAATGTCGATCTTTTAGTCTTCTCAGGAATTTAATTATCTATTTACGTTTAAACTTTCTTCCAAACGATAAACGATACAAACGTCGCATATCGTGGACGCCCCACAGCCACTGCACTCTAATGACTGTTAGTATACGAGTAGTTCAGCTAATCAGATTGCAGCATTTGCATTAGTATGCTAGTAGAATTCTACTAAGGTAAGTTATTACAAATGTTAAGGTCAGCGCGGGCATCCCCCGCCCGTTCCGCGGTCTGAATAGCTTGGAAGCTGTGGGACTTTTCTGGTCATGTGATTTAACTTCTATGGCAACCATGTATTCAAAGGAGGTTTTTTTTTGCCGGACTAAATTTGGAGTTTTTTCAAGTTTAAGTTGTTTTGAAATGTTTGGCTAGATTTGGATTTCATAAATATTTTGATGCTAAAAACTTTTTAGCTATTGCATCTTCATATTTAATATGACAGACGTTTCACGTCAATATTGCATGATAGTGCGCTGGACAAAACTGTTCTGGATCGACGTTTTACGACCAAAAATCAAAACAAGCAAAACGATGCAAATAAATTTTTGATTGACTTAAACCTTAGTAAATTCCACATATGGAAACTTGTTTTCATATAGATCACGCAAGGAAGACTTGCGCTACAACGTATCTAAATTTGCGTACTGAATCACAAAAGTAAGGAAAATTGCGCGATTTCTGGGAAAAAATAGTTTTGGTTTACATCGACATCGTAGTGTTAGACCAATGCTGTTGTGCGAAGAACATCGTCACTTGTTTATGGATTTTTTTTCACAAATTCGACGAGATGGCATGAAGGAGGCCGGAGCGATAATCCATCTAAACAACACTGTAATCCTGTGATATATAAGCGGTGTAAAGAGAATCGAAGATTCAAGTAGTGATGCTGCCACTGAAGGACCGCAAAATACCACAAGGCAAACCAAGCAAAGTTAATTCAAGCTGTTATGTGAGAAAATGGCAAGCTCCTGGTAGACGAGCCCAGAAAAAGGTCTGAAAACTTTCCTAAAAGCACAAATACCAGTGTCTGAGGTTCTTAGCCAACAGCGCCTTAACACAGCAATATCCGTTGTGCATTTGTGGCTTGTACGGAGGGCGAGCTAAAGGCAGCCATTTTCAAAACGTGTGGAAGACCGATCCTTGGCAAGAACGAAGATCAGTTTCTGAAGATAGTATCGTATTTCAGTGACCAATAAGTTGTAAGTCTTTCTCATGCTTTCTTGTCAAAATCTTGACAAAAAAAGCACCAGCACGTGAAGAGTTTCTTCTCAAAACAACCGTCCAAATGTGACTCTTCTTTCTCAGAAATTACGTGATTTTGCATACTTTTGTGACTCAGTTACATACCAAATTTGGACAAGGTGTAAAGCAAGCCTTTCTTGCGTGATCCATATAAAAATAAGTTTCCCTGTGTGGAACTTAGTAAAGTTTAAGACAATCACAAAATTATTTGTGTCACTTTGTTCGTTTTAATTGTTTGTTGTAAAACGTCGATCCAGAACAGTTTGTCCAGCGTATATGACTTCACAAGTGACACGTGACTTTCTCAAGAGAAAACAAGTTTGGATGTTTTGCACGTAATATAATGTTGACTTCTTTTGATTACTCCTTACTCTTTGAGAGGGGAGACATGGGAGGGGGATCTCAAAGTACAAGAACACCCCCTCCCCCTTACCCAGGCTCGCAAAGCAAAAAAGCCAGTTAAAACTGTTTTATCAGAAGAAAAAGATTTTCTCAGCTGACGAAACTCAGATGGATTTTAAAACAATTTTCTTCGCTGATCAAAATCTCTTGAGATCATTAAGCGTTTTCTTCAGCGGTCATAGGTTTTCGACTTGGACCCTCTATTCCAAACACACATAAAGCTGGATTGAAATCCCTGCTACCGGGCTTTTTGCATGGTCGTGGATGGAAAAATAGACGACAGAGTTAAGCTGAGCTAGAATGGTCCAAAGTTAAACATTCTGTTTTATCAGTTTTACCATTTAGATATATTTCGTTTGTGGCTACTGAACTGAATAACGCATAGCTGAAAAGCTAATCAATTAACCAAAACTTTCTTGTTATCTCAGTGTATTTCAATGTGTATTACACCCGCTTTCAGTGTTACTTGCATAGGCCACATCTTTCGACATGCCATCTTTCGACCTGCTAAGTAGCCTGGCCTACTTAGAAAATGTAAGCACAACGGACTTCTTTACGGTCGAACTCGAATTGTAATGATGAAAGATTGATTTATTTGACTTCAAATTAAGGTTAGGAGTATCAAGAAGTCATTCTAGCAGAAATAAGTCGATTGTTGTGAATGTTTACACGTTGCGAATATTAAGAGTGGCAGCGGCCCAATTTCACCGGAAGTCACTATTGAGAACCGATCGACTACACTAAATCGCTTGAATCATCCCGTAAATACGGTAACATGCAAAGTCCAAATCTTCTTCAGCCATTTGGGGTAGGTAATTATCATTAACTTGTCATTTCCTCCGCTAATGACCGGAAAAACTACTAGTTTCACAGTTTAACGGTCTTTCATAGCATGTGGAAAGATGGTCGAAAGATGTCGCCTATGCACGTAACACTGAAAGCTGGTGTAAAAAAAGAATATTGTGTCGACCATTTAATTTCCTCAGCTGAAAGAATTCGAATTCTTTAGCAGTTCAGCATATTTTAAAAGGAAATTAGACATATCTTTAAGCAAATTGTTCTCAAGGCTAAGTCTCTTTATCAGTCATCTCACATCTTTATCGGTTTTTTTCTAATGCGCTACTCATTAAAGAGTTGTCGACCCATAGCGAGAGATCAGGTCAGTGGCGAAACAGACGCGTATACATAATAACATAGGCGCATTTATTTCCAAATCATAACCACAGTCGTGTCCTATCGAATTCGTCTGATCTAAAGGCTCGTCAGGAGAATTTGAAAAATTGAATTTTTACTGGATGTGCCCGTCCAAGTATTCACTATACACCAGATGCTATAAACATGCATCATTTTAATGTGCTGTTAGCAGCATTGGCTTTTGCACTAACTCCTTTTCCGATTGCTGATTCAATTCGCTCGAGCAGTACATCTTCCAATTCGCAGCTTTTGGAATCAGGTGGAGGTTTCTCATACGTCAAGCAAGAACATGCCGTACCGAGATTCCTTCTGAAGCTTTATCGACAAAGGCACTATCCCGCAAGGAAAAACTGCAGGAACACCATAACTGCTTTCTTTCTCGAAGGTAGGCTTGTTGAATCAACGTTCGACATTAACACCTGCTTAACGCTTTGGTTATGGACATTTGTCTTTCAGTCATCACGTAGGACAATTAAATCTGTCACTTAGAGAATATTAGGGCTGCACTGTTAGACAACAAGGTAACCAAAACTTAAGCTGTCGTCCAAAACCTTTTATTGATGCATATTTACCAATTGTTGTCATATCGAAAACTTTGTAAAGATGAAGTTTGATAGCATAGTCCGGAAAGATGCAACTATTTGAGTTTCTTTTTCTTTCTTGAAAAATAGGAGGAGTTAGACAAGTAATGCCCATGAGAGCTTTTGAATTAATGTTTGATTTACGCTCTATGACATCAAAGAATTTGGTGAAAGCTGAACTTCGTGTTCTTAAGAAAAAGGCTACTGACATCGAACAGCTGAGATGTGAATATTCAGTTATGGTGCATAGCTTCGTTAACGGAAAGAATCCCACGAAAACATTAGTAGATTCCTTAACAGTAAAGAACTCCTTAAAAGGTCAGTGGCTAGAGTTCAACGTCACGACTGCTGTGAAAATGATAACTCAAGAATCAGAAAGAAAAATGGGATTTCGGCTGTCTGTTGATGGTGCCCTGTGCGCTGAATTTCATATTGGTAAGAAAGGAAGACATAGGCCCTTTCTAGTGACCTACACGAGGGATTCGGAAGATGAATCTTCCCAGACAACTCTTGGAAGCATCGAGTTAGGAACAAAACGGGCCAAACCATTTCTAATGTTCCGCACAAATACAACAGTAATCGATCGTCAAAGTCGAGCTATCCAAGAAAGGCACTGCCGCCGACGCCGCTTAAGGGTGCGTTTCAAAGACCTCAAGTGGAACCGATGGATAATCACGCCTCGAAGCTATTGGGCTAATTACTGTGAGGGAACCTGCCCCAAAGTTCCAGTTTACCCACTGGACGTCACCAATCACGCCATCTTGCAGAACATTCTCCAATACCATGCCTCTTACAGCTATGTTCCGAGCCCTTCTTGTGTTCCAACAGAGTTGCATTCGCTCTCAGTCTTATATCGCAATGGGGAGGACAACGTCATTATATTGAAGGCATTTCCTGAAATGACTGCGTCGGCGTGTGGATGTCGATAGACAATAATTAAGTACTATAAATAGTTGTGGCACAATACTCCTTAAGAATAGATATTAAGACTTGAAATAAATTCTTAGAAGCAAAGCGGAACATATGGTAGATGTTGGGGTCAAAGATTCCACCCTACACCAGATGGTTTTAACGGTATATAGAAATCCTAATTACAACAATATGTATAATACACAAGCTATATGCAGGGTTTTATGGAATAAACAGGTTGCTATGGATTAGCTTAAATGGGGGAAGCAATCAAGTTCCACTTATTGATACTTTGAATCAAAGTAAGGGCTACCTTTGTGACAACATAGACCTCTGGAACTTAACGAAGGCAAAAAATAAGATTGCCTTTTAATTCGGCTGTTAACAGTCTTTTGAAATAACGTCGTATTTTTTCATGGCCATTTTTCGCTAGCTGGTGATAACCACGTGCACTGTATGATATTTAGCTCCATTAATGGCACCGGCGTCGCTGCATAAGGATGGTTCACCACCAGAAATCACGTAATTAGTCCGCCGAGCGTCGTATCACCGTCATTGTCTTAGAAACGCTAATTATATAACCATAAGCGGTTGGCTGCGGAGCACGTGACCACAAGTTTCCGCCAACTGTCCTAATTTTCAGAAAAAGTGCCACAATTTGACTCGGCTGTAGTATCCCTTCAATTTCTCCCAGAAGACGCTGAACATATGTCAGATGCATTGTGATTGGTCGTCCTGGTTTCTCCTTTCCGTGTGGTGGAAAGTACTAAGTAAAACCAACTCAACCAACTCCCACTTCGGCGGTTAGTTTCGTTCAAAATAAACCCTTAATTTAATGTTAAGCATTAAATTGTCGTTTAAACGTATTTTAATATATGTAAAAAGTAGCATGATCGATAAATCTGAACGATATGTGAGCAACAGATTTTAAGCTAAAATTCACTGATGTCCAAAATACCTCACAATTGCAATTTGTTCGAGATCCTTTATCGGGCCTTATCTTTCAGTTCTCAATGTAAACACCCTTAGGTTGTGTAGATTATGGACTAGTCGTTCAAATATTAAAGCTCTGAAAAGGAAACCTGGTGGATTTATAAGTCTTATAACATATCCAAATATTTTCTTTGAGGTGCGTAATATGGAGCATGAAGTCATATGGCATAGAAATGTTCTCATTACTGTATCTCCAAACAGCTGCCATCTTGACCAAACCAAAATTTTTCAAGCGATAAAGAAAGCTAAAATTATCCAAAGAAACTAAACACTCCTACTCCACTGCAAGAGAATTTAAAAACAAAAATCATCTAAAGAAAAATAAAGAGGTACCTAGAGAAAAAATTGTGGCTCGGTAGTGAAAAGAGAAAGAGGCAATGTTTATCCTGTAGAAGCGCAGGACGTGGGACAAAGAAAAGATCTGAGACACAGACAAGATTCATATCGCGCCCTCGAACTCCCTAGCCTGAAGGCGGAACAGGCGGGGCAGAGCACGAGTGTGACTCCCGAGAGTGAAGTGCGCGGACGAACGTGGAAGGCGAAAAGTGAGGGTCCACAATAGGGTTCTCAGATCCCGCTTTCCCGCCCATTTTTCCCTGTTAATCCCGTCATCCCGCCCTTTTTTGCCTGGAAATCCCGATCCCGCCTACTTTTTAAAGACGTTGCTGCGTTAATTATTAATCAGTTAAATTAATAATTACCTTAATTATTAACACAGAATCTTTTTAAAAAAGATATCGCATAAAGCATCACAAAAGGAATCAATGGGTAGCAGATAAGTAAGCACAATGTACCTGAAGAAGTCTGGTTTAGCCAGCCGAAATATAGTACACCTTCGAGAAATCATCCTACGTTGTGTCGGGTTTTGCTTTTGTATTCTTCAAAAGATTATAATGTTTCTTTCTGTAAACTGTTTACTGTTTTGTTTTCTTTTGTCCACGTATCAGTGAAAGAAAAAGATTTTTCACCTCCGTATTCAAGAGATGGCCCGTAAACACACCTGACAGTTTCTTTCAAAGCTTTCAGCGTCTTCTCTTTCCTTGAAATCTGGGCTCAGAACTTTTCTTTCCGAATGAAGGCATTCCCACTTGCACATCCTTTTCGTAATATATGGCGACGCAATTTATAATGTCTCATACTTCGTTCGGTAAATCGCTATCGCCGCCAACCAATGGGGGCATCCTGGCCAAAACAAGACAAGCGTTCTAGGAAAGGTCGAAAGACTAGAAAAACTAGAAAGGATCGGGGTGTGGGGAGGGGAAGCGGTCAAGATTATATACGCAAGTGTCGAGGATGTGGGAAATGGACAGATGTCATTGATGTCAGAGTATCGCAATAGGACTCAAAGACTTAATACAGTCTCATGATACTAACTTAGTCAAGCGATAATGGATACGTTCGACAGTACCTGACAGGGTACAGAGCCGTTGCTATTCATTACTTGAAACCTGACACAGCTATACGCACAAAAGGTTCATTTCTTGCGGCTTTTGCGCTGGTCAATTTATGAGGTCACGTAAGAATTGAAATCCCTTATCCCGCTCTGTTCCCTTTGCGAATCCCACATCCCAACCCCATAAAAACACGAAATCCCGCTCCCACTCGTAATTGTAATTCCCGCTTCCCGCCCCTGTTTTCAGCTCAAATCCCGAATATCACGGCGAAAAAAACAAAGCCAAATCCCGCATCCCGCCAAACCTATTGGGGACCCCCAAAAGTAGCAAAGAAAATAAATCGTTTTCTGTTTTGTTTTGTTTTTTTTCTTTTGGTCTCGCGCTTCGCATTCGCAATCGCGCTCCACGTTTACTAAATTGTTCATCCAAACACAGGGCAAGCGCTCTGTCCACTGATTTACGGAAAGCCTCATTTTTTAAAATTATTATTATTATTATTTTATTCCTCCAATTCCTAGCTAATACACAGATATGTAAATATAAAGTAAAGAAAGTAAATAGTAACCGATAGTGCTTTGTAAGGAAGAAAAAAACGCAAAAAACAGCCTCATTTGGTGTAAGACTGCTGCTAAATACCCTGGGGATTGTTAGAAACAGAATTGTGGAGGGCTGTATGGGCGATAATGAACGGGAAGAAATGAAATGGTCATTATGGCATTAGCCTAAGCAGAAAGAAAACATCCTCCAAGGGAATTCGAACCCATGACCTCCCAAACACCATGCGGCCGCTCACGATCTCCCTTGGAGAAGAGACTCACGGTGAACAATAGACTGCAAAACAGTCGTATTTTTTGCGAACGCAAGCGACGGTCAATATTCGAACGAAAGGTCTGGAGCGAGTGTAAAAACGGCGAGGGAGAATGGGGAGAGACGCTACGGGCGTGTGAGGCTCGCGCGCTTCACACGCGGGGATCCCGCTTACTGCGCTTCGCGCCTTCCGGAAACGTCCGAAAACGACTGTTTTGTAGTCTAGGTGAACAAGGTCATCTACTGCCGACGTTAACTTTGTTGTTATTTTAAGTGTTTTTCCCTGGTCTACCAGTTTAGTGAAACCAATTTCTAACTTTCTTCTTTAAAATTGTGTTCATTTCACTGATGTCCAAACATGCTTGTTGGGTACTTTACAGTCACTCTCAGTAAAGACCATTGAACTGATTGTTGCAGAATACGATTTTTGTAGAGGGAACACTCAAAATTGATCGAATGGTCAATTCCGATCCTTTTAACGTGCCTATGAAGTAAAAAATAAGTGATGCTTATTTGAAAGGCTTTTCAAAGTAAAGAAGAATGGTGTTTCCCTTTTTGCAATATCTTTTTTCGTTCTAGAGATATTTACGTTTTTGTATTA